ATAAGTGTAATAGTAGCAGTGATGGAGGAAGGAATATGTTGAAGAAGATGGGTGGAAATTAGAAGTTTTTAAAAGTTTTTTTTTTCTGACATCAAGCCTAAATTTGCTTCTAGCCAGCCTCTACTCTTTGCTATTGGTTCTTTCATCAGGGTCCTGGGATCAAGTGGGGATCATAAAGGGGGCAATCTGCTGGAAAATATGGGATGGAATGGGATCACTTCTGAATTTAGAGGGGTTTATCTTGGCAAGAAAGGCCACCTCTCCTTGTGAGACAGGGGTGAAGATGGGGATTGTGGCAGAGGCATCTGGAAGATAGAAGATGAAGAGAAGGGATAAAAACAACTGTAGGAACGCCACTGTGGTAGGTGGGATAGTGAGTATTTCCCTACATGTATTTGACTTAAGTGTAGTGAAGAGGAAGGACATGGGAGTTGAAGAAGACTAATGAACTCTGAGGTTAGTGTTTGAGAGGACACTGACTTTTAAACTGATGTTCTAAATGGCAGAGTAGGAGGTATGGAAAAGACAACTGTGAGAGAAGAACTAAATATCTTGAGAAAGTTTGTTAACAAGAGAGCAAAGGATAAAATGGAATGGGAGGGCAAAAATGGATAGAGACTATGGAGGGGTAAGATTAAGATCAATATGAATTGGAGTGTGGGGAGAAAGGAGAAAGGATTTTGTGAATGATAATGTATGAGGGAATACGAGATTGGGAAACCTAACAAAGGGTAAGGAAGGAATAAGATGTTAACATAGATGCCACTCGATAGGGCCATCCACCCTCTTGGATCCTGTGAACATGGACTCAGTGTAGAGGTGGAGAATTTCTTACTACTGAGCCCCTGGGTAAAGAAGGAAGAATAAGAAAGGGATTGGGTACAGGTGGTCTGGTGGATTCACATCTTTCCCAGAACCTCATCCCAAGATGTCAGGGGATACCCTATACAAGCCAAAAACATTCAAACTCCAAAAACAAGGCTCTCCCTCTTTCCACATATAACAAGCTCCCAGTTTCCTAGGTAACCAAGGCTTGAAATTCATGATAGCTTTAGAAACACTTTTATAAGTCTCTCTGTTCCTTCAGAGATGGTGTAGTTTCTGCCGCAAACTTAATAAACTTTCTTCACTGTTCCCTATTAAGTCAATAATGTTCAACTCAAACTGCTATAAAAAACAGTTCAGATTCTATAAATTCAGTGACTTTGCTTTTATAGACAAATGTATAAGAAAAAGTACCTCCAAATGTGCCAATAATAGAGCCAGTAAATTGCAAAAGATGATTCATCTGATCAGTGTGATAACGAGACTCCTGCTTCTTCTGTCGTCCATTTTTTGGAACCATCCTTCCCCTATTTAAAGAAATATTATGACAAAACAAATTAGCAAGTCAAGCCATTTTCTATATACCCTATCTATATCAAATAAAATAAAATTTCTGTCTTGATCTCTTGATAATTGTTGTGATCTAAGCAAGGGATGAGTTATTAACTCATGCACTAAAGGATCTCCACTTGACCTGTTTTTCTTAGGTTTCACTATTAGCCAGAACCTTAATACTATGTAAACCTTTCTAAAATGACAATTCATCACATGAGAGTGTTGTGCCTGCTGCAGGCAACTATGGGCTTTCATTAGACATGTATTTCGTAAACCCTGAACCCCAGCTGACAGCTGCAGCCCATTTTCACTCACTATACTTACCATCATTTCCTTTCTCTGCAATATGGGCACTCCCAACAATGGTACAGATCACACACCCATCTCCCTTTGGTGCAATTCTTGTCTTCCCATAAATTCTTTACTAGGGCCCTTCCTTGAGAGCAGGGGTTCTTAAGTGTTTTTTTGCATCATGAACCCTTCTGGTGGTCTGGTGAAGCCAATGTACCCTTTTTTCAAAATAATGGGTTTTTTAATGCATAAAATAAAAAATATATCAGATTACAAAGGAAAAGAATGACTAAAATAAAATCATCAAAATTTTTTTCAAAAACCAATTTCGTAGACCCTAAGTTAAGAACTCCTGCTCTAGATTTTTGATATTCCATGGAGACCAGTACAGTATATAGACTATCCATCAGTTATTCCTCACTCCCTCTAGATGATAGGCTCATCTCCTTTTCTGGCCATTTATCTTTTGGATGGAGAAGGCAGTGTTGTGTAGTGGGTAGAACATTAGACTTGAAGTCAGAAAGAGCTGCTACAATGGAAAAAAACACTGGCTCTGCAGACAGAGGACCTGGATTCAAATCCCAATTTGGGAAAGTCACGACCTCCCAGGGGCTCAGTGTCTTCAGTTATAAATGGAGGTTGATGCCCACTAAGGCCCCTTACAGCTCTAGGTCCATGACCTGTGATCCAGATTCAAGTTCTGCCTCAGACATGACCCTGAGGAAGTCATTTCTTTATCTATAAAATGAGATGGACTTCAGTCTCTTGCAGTTCTGAGTCTGTCTGTGGTCTTAGGATTCTTTCCACAGCTTCTCCTGTGTAATTCTCTCAAGGGCATGTCCTCCATCCAGAGCTATCCAGTAGAAGATACATTTCTGCCTTCAAAAAACCTCCAGTTCACAAAAAAGGAAGAAATGTCAATAAGTACATTTAAATATAACTATCAGGCAGATATGGAATATATTCAAAAGCATTTGTAACTCTACAAAGTAAGAAAGATGCACAGGTCCTACAAACTGAGATGGGAGAAGCTAGACAAATTCACTAGTTACCAAGTCCCCAAAATGTGATTAGGCTGCAATTCTTTCACATATTCTCTACCCCTAAAAGGTCAGTTTTTATCATATCAGATTGTAGAAGAATTTATGTTAAACTGTTTTGAAACATCATAGTAATATATTAAGGTAGCTTCTCAGTTCATTATAGATGAAGAAACTGTCATGTTAGCAAGCATAATGTCTGGGTGCATTTGAATTTTTCTGAATAGGAAAACACTAACAACATTGAACACAGCACATTGGTTGGTTCATCATGTCATTTGAATAGGTACCTGGTACCTATTCAAATAAATAGGTACCCAGTCAACTGAATAGTTATATAGGCTCATAGATCTAGAGGCCATATAGTTCATATAGTTCAACACCCCTCATCATATATAAGCGGCCCAGAAAAGTGAAATGATGTGGCCAAGATCACACAGGTATTAAGGGGAAGAGACAATGCAGGTACTCTGATTCCAGAGTAAGCGTTGTTACCATTTGTCATCGAATACTTGCAGTTTTTGTCTCTCTCAGACCCCTTCCCCCACCCTCCTTCTGTCTCTCTACTCTCACTCTCTCTCTCTATCACACATACACACACACACACACACACACACACACATTCAACCCTCTATCTAGTAATACTATCACCACATAAGCGTTCAGAACTGCCCTGCTCTGGTCTTCTCAGCATTGTAAACATTTTCAAGGTTGGAAAGAAGAGAGTGGGAGTCACAAGAAGGTAGCCAGCTCTCTCAACTGGTTTAGTGCATATTGTTATATTCCAGACTCTTGCTGAACTATAGAGCTCTGGTCTCCAAAGTCCTGGTAGAACCTCCCCATAATTTTTAATTTCCTCCTATCCTTCCCTCTGCCTACGGCCAGTTGAAAAAGTCTAGGGATAAACTCTGACCTACTGCTTTGGGGCTAAAATAACTGTGGAAATGATAGACATTGTTGCCTTTAAGCAGAAGCAACATCATGGGGAAGTACTACCTTCTCTTTAAAAAATGATGAGAAAACCATTATACCACGATAATAATTACACCAAATCAAATAGCTAGGATAAAATGAGATAATATGTGTAAAGCACTCTGCAAACCTTAAAGTACTATAGCTAGCTATCATCATACAGCTAATTTTCTATTACACGTCCTAGATGTTAATATAAATGTAGGATAAAATGTCAACCTTCACGTGACTTTCATGTGTGCTATTAAACAACAAATTCAGTAAAACACGAATTAGTATATGATGGATACATTCGGTTGATTTTTTTATGGGATCTTAAATTACATTAACTCTTTCATCAAACAGAAATCTGAAGTATGGGGTATTTTGCATTTGTAAAGAGAATCTATCTAAAGAGATATATCCCAACTATGTGTCATAATCTGTTTATAACGTGTTCATGTTAGTCTTTGCAAGTAGCAGCACATCCAATGTGTTATATTAGCACTGTTTTATATTTACAAAACGTGAGGAGCCACATTATGTGAACAGATGCTTGCATCTCACCGAGATTCTCAGATCGACTTTAGAGTTCAATTTGCAAACATCAGAAATGAAACTGCCTGATATAGCATTCAGGCTCTGGGCATTAGGCGGCCAGCTGAGATTGCCTCCTGCTCTTCAATGACCTCATTTCAGCTCTTAACACTATAAATCAGGTCAAAAATTGTAACTGCAGCGGGTTCTGTTTCTGGATTATGATATAGCAGCCAAGGAAGGCATGATGCTACATTGTTTCTCCTGTCACAGGAGAGAGGAGGGTAATTCCCCGTGACGAGGCACTGCTGCAGGAGAAGCCCCATTATGCCTTTCTAGAGAGAGTTTATAAAGGTATACAGATGCCGGCTGTACAGCCAACAGGGCAGCAGAGTCATTCTGTGCTCAGCTGCAAAAAGTCTTTGTCTTATGTATCATTAAAAAAGGGGAGGGGGGGTGACTACAAAAAAATGCATGTTACTGAACTGTTAAATGGATCATGGAATGATGGGATTCTGAGTTGAAAAGGACCTTACAGATCCTTCAGTCCAACCCCTCTCATTTTATGGATAAGGAAATAAAGGGCTAGAGAAATCAACTGACTTGCCAGCTTAGGGCATTTAATAAAAGGAAACTAAGCAGTGTTAAGACTGACAATAGTTTGTAGATTATTTTGAAACATGCTACTCTCCCATGTTTGCTAGTTTCTAGCCAGCCTTCTAGAATCTAATTTTTAGAAACTATTCCCTCTGTATTTGGAATGAGTCACTTAACATGTTTAAATGTGATCCCCTTTTGCAGCAGCAACCCAGCTCATAGATACTACCTTGCAACAGATCCAGTAACAGGAGATTTGTATGTTTCCGACACAAACACCCGCAGAATTTATCGCCCCAAGTCCCTCACTGGTGCAAAAGACCTCACTAAAAATGCTGAAGTGGTGGCGGGGACAGGAGAGCAGTGCCTACCATTTGATGAAGCACGGTGTGGTGATGGAGGCAAGGCTGTGGAGGCCACACTCATGAGTCCCAAAGGTAAAGACGGCATTCTGTTGGAGAACTTTTTTTTTTAATACGGAAAAGGGATGGAAATCCAGTTACTACTTGATTGTCTTAAATGCTGAGTCTGACCTTTTGCCCAAAGCTGCGTTGAGAGAAGGCGGTTTCCAAATCCAGTGTTTTTAAAAGCCATTTAGCGTGAAACTGATGGAAGCCTAAGTTGATTTTACAGTAAATGTTGGGTTCTTGGTCTCTTTGATTTCATGCCATTTTTTTTCAAGCTATCCAAAGAATAAAGCAAATACTCTGTTATTCAGGACAGATTCTCTTAAAGGGAATTTCAAGGGGGTATCCAAATTCTTCATTGTATTAAAGTCATCTTTGTAACTGAAGAATTCTGGTCCTACTTAAAAAACCTCCCCAAAGCAGCCCTATTAGCACTCACCCAGTTAGGAACTGTTCGACTTTTTCTTTGTGTATCATGAGGAAAACATTTGGCATGTGGGATTTCTGGAGGTGACGGAGGCTAACAGCCTGCAGGATAAACTTTCTATCAATCATACTAGACATGATTTGCTCTTTGCCATTTAATATAGTATTTCATTATAGCAAGTGACTATTGTATGGACAAGGACTAGAGGGGAAAAAAGCGTTTGTTGTAGCGAATTATTCATAGTAGCAGATTTTATCGTCAAAAGGTCAACAAAGCACTAGCTCAAGCTTGACTCTATTTTTGTTAGAACGAATATGGTATGAAAAAAGTTCACCAGAGCAGAACTTAACCCCTTTCTACAATTTCTAGACACGCAAAAAATTTTGATGTCACCATTTTGTACTTAGAACATACTAATAATCTTTAATTGTAGTAGATAATAGGACTGATCTCAGAGTCAAGATGTGGGTTCAAATCCCAGCCCCTGACAAATAACATCCTAGATGTGTGACCCTGATTAAGTCATTTTCCCAGGGTTCCAGACAACCTACTCTTTCAGAGATTCTTAAGCCAAGGCCTGGAAACTTGGTTTTTAGTTTTTTGTTTTTTTTTTCATTTATATAGATAGCTGTATTTCAATATAACTGGTTTCCTCTGTGATCCTATGCATTTTGTTTTATGCATTTAACAACCTCATTTTGAGAGGAGAACCACAGGCTGTGCCCAGATTGGCAAAGGAGTCCATGACTCAAGAAAAGATTGAGGACCATTGCTCTAAATTAGAAATTCTCCAACATTTGACAAATATGCATAGGAAGAGGGTGTTTCCTCACCAAGGGTTCCTTAACCCTGGTGAAATCACAGGTCTAGGCAAAAAAGAGATAAGGCCTGAGCTGCTAATTTATAGCTTACTGGAGGTTCTACATATATTTACATATCTCTCTTCAGTACATTCTGCATTATTTGTGATACAAATGATAATACTGAACTCTTCTAATTTATATTTGAATTCCACAAACACACCTGCTAACTTTGTATAATTCACCAGTTAGATGCTGAATAATCACTTTGTGATGATTATATGATCAGAAGGCTGTTTTTTTTTTTTTAATTCCATAACATTTTACTTCTCTTGGACACAGGGATGGCCATTGATAAGAATGGATTAATCTACTTTGTTGATGGAACCATGATCAGAAAAGTAGACCAAAATGGAATAATATCAACTCTCCTGGGTTCTAATGATCTAACTTCAGCCAGGCCTTTAACATGCGATACCAGTATGCACATCAGCCAGGTAATTTAAAAATTCAACTGAATGGTATTGTCTTGTCTTACATAAAGCTTGTTTTACTAGATAACTGGTATCCGACAGCTCATAGCAGCTATATTTGTCACATGTAGCAGTCTTCTGAACAAACTTCTTCCAAGAGATTGTATTTAAATGTCCTTAGGAGATGACTTTAAAAAAAAAAAACTTCCTTCTTTCACAGTCATACTCTTGATAAACTCAGTATAGCACAGAACTGCCATATTAGTATGAAATGATAGAGGATTTGTAGTAAAATTCCAGTAGAGTAGCAGCCCTGAAGATATTCTTAAAAATAAACCAAACTGCTTAAGTCTCTTAATCTGTTATGGTGAATGACTCAGGTTCTCAAGTAGTATGGAAAACCCACTAGTATTAGTCCCACTGGACTTCTACTTAGAATTGGGAGCTCTACTATTGCCCTGATTGAAAACACAACAGAACCCTAATGTATTCATAACCTCGAAAGTACTGGGATTTAGTGCTTGTTAACTGCTATCAGGATGCAAACCAAGAATATATGTGCTCATATCCCACCATTATCCACTGACTCACTACATATAGGCTAATTTGCTATTTGTGTATAGCTCTAATACGTCTTTCTATGAGGTGTATTTTTAAGTAAAATGTTATTTCCTCCATCTGTCTTTACATGAGACCTTTAAGCTTATTTTACTGTGGCTATCGAAAAAGCAATTTTAAAGGAGTTCATCAAATGGAGGTTAATTTCACTGAACGGCCTAATTTCATTTAATGCCAGTAAATTAACGGCAGTGAAGTAACGGGCTAACCAAACAATTTCCTCTTTTTTTATTAAGGTGCGTCTGGAATGGCCCACCGACTTGGCTATTAACCCTATGGATAACTCCATTTACGTCCTGGATAATAACGTAGTTTTACAGATCACTGAAAACCGCCAGGTCCGCATTGCCGCTGGGCGGCCGATGCACTGTCAGGTCCCTGGAGTGGAATACTCTGTAGGAAAACATGCGGTTCAGACAACCTTGGAATCGGCCACGGCCATCGCCGTGTCCTATAGTGGGGTCCTGTACATCACAGAAACGGATGAAAAGAAGATTAACCGAATAAGACAGGTCACAACAGATGGAGAAATCTCATTAGTTGCTGGAATACCCTCAGAATGTGACTGTAAAAATGATGCCAACTGTGACTGCTATCAGAGTGGAGATGGCTATGCCAAGGATGCCAAACTCAATGCTCCTTCCTCCTTAGCCGCGTCTCCAGATGGTACACTGTACATCGCAGATCTCGGAAACATTCGGATCCGGGCTGTGTCAAAGAACAAGCCTTTGTTGAACTCCATGAATTTTTATGAAGTGGCCTCTCCCACTGATCAAGAGCTTTATATCTTTGACATCAATGGTACTCACCAGTACACCATGAGCCTCGTCACTGGTGACTACCTGTACAATTTTAGCTACAGTAACGATAACGATATCACCGCGGTGACCGATAGCAATGGCAATACTCTAAGAATTAGACGAGATCCCAACCGGATGCCAGTGAGGGTGGTGTCCCCTGATAACCAAGTCATATGGCTGACCATAGGGACCAATGGATGTTTGAAAAGCATGACTGCCCAAGGACTGGAGCTCGTTTTATTTACTTACCACGGCAACAGTGGTCTTCTGGCCACCAAAAGTGACGAGACTGGTTGGACTACCTTTTTTGAGTAAGTACAAAGATTAAGATTCTCCTCTGTTGTACAAAATATCATGAAGTCCATGACAGCATTTTTAAAATTTAAGGTGTTGAGATTTTGTTTCATATAACAACAGTTTTCAGACAAAAAACATGGCATGACCAACCCCTCCAAAAACACACGACGGATTTTGCTTTGGGTGTGGACACAACACACATTTTCATTTATGCATTTGATTAAAACATAGCAATGCTGGCATCCACTGTTTGCAGCTGTCACAGTACAGGAGCTGTAAAAACATCTTCAAAGAATTCTCATCAGTCACCTCTGTATGTTTTTAATCATGTAAAAGTCCTTAGAAGCCTTTTCTCTTCAATTATTTATTATCAATGGGCAAATCACTTATCTGTGAGGACAGGCAACTCTTTAAGACCATGAATTTCAAAATAGTCCCCAAGCTGCATTGGTGAAGGGAGTTTCCTCCCTGGGAGTTCCTCATCTGAACAAAATCGCAGTTCCAGACAATACATACATAAATATGGCAAAGTGCATGTTGGAGGGAGATATGACATTCACTACCAAGAGCAAATTGGGAATCAATCAATTAACAAACATTTAATACTTACCTTCCTACTTGTATGCCAAAGCACTATACTAGGTGCTGAAGACACAAAGACAAAAATTAAACAGTCCATGTGCTCAAGGAGATTATACTCTATCATGTACACTCATACATACATGCAAAATAATTACGAAGTGATTTTGGTGGTAACAGAAAAGATCTCCCGCTAGAAATGAGCTCCAAAAAAAACAATCTAGGGATTCTAAGACACAGAGGAATTGCTTTAAATTCAATTCAACAAGCATTTGTTATGCAACCAAGAAAGCATCTGTGTGTAACCACTTATGCTAGGAAGTTATGCTGAGTACCTGAAGAAATGAGTAGCCAGTAACACATCCAGTGTGTCTGTTTAAACAGTAAATTCCCCTAAGTCAGTGAGAACCCTCGGTGAAATTAACTGTGGTCCGTTTTAAGACCCCTGAGCTTTGCAACGAATATGCACATAAAATCAAGTGGACTGATTGCTTATTCGAGTAACTTTGCAGGGGTCACACTGGAGAATTAAACGCACACAGATAGCGTAGTGGCAGAGAGAGGATAAGCTTTGAATTAAACGTAAAAATACCTAACTTTGACTTCACGTTATAAGCTGAGACAAAAATATTTTCCGTGGGAACATAGGTCTGAAACTATGCTGGAAGTTGGTGGTAATGTGCTGTAATATAGAAACATTTGGGTTGCGTATCACCTTTTCTAGAATCTGGAAAGTAGGATCAACCTCGTAACTTGAATTGCTTCTCTTTTTTGGAGCAAGTTCCGTTTTAATAAAATTAATGTGACCCCGCAGCAAGATTTCCTAAAAGGGATAAATCTTTTTCAGCAGAATGACATTAAAATTCTGTTCTTAACATCTTTCTTCATTTTAGAATCGCAATAGATGGGGAATAAATTGGAAATTAATGGAAGGTACTTCCTTTGCACAGTTTTTCAAAGCCATAGCAGGTTCTAATGCCAAAGAGGCAAAAAAACAAAAAGTATAGAAAAATGTGCTCCAATGAGATGAACCTGGGTAGGAGAGCTGCTGGATATTCAGGGAATGATGGTGGCATGCATGAGATGCTGGTTTAGTTTAAAGCAGGCCAGAAATGCTGAGGTAAATTGCTAATAAAACTGAAGAGTCAAGTCCTCTCTGGGCCACATCCAGATGTCTCTTTGTTAATAGGGTAATGACTTAGAAAATGACAGCCCTTTGATGGCAGACATATGTTTTGGTTTTTCGCCTTTGTATCTCCAATCCCTCACAGGATAGTCTGGCACATAGCAGGAGCTTAATAAATGCCTTTTGAGTCAGATTGGTACTGAACCAGCACTTTTCAGTAGAATAAGTGGTTTGCTCTCCAACTGCAATGGAATTTTAAGTATTTGATGGCATCAAAGAAAGGGCAGTATTCTGGTGAATACTGGGACAGGTAGATCAGCTAGTTTTAAGAGTGAGGCATTAATTAAATAGGTATTTTTGAAGGGAAAGAGCAATAATAAAATATAAGCAGAATAAGAGCTGGGACGGTTGCTAGAGATCACCTCACTTCACAGTTGAGGAAACCAAAGTCTCCAGAGGTGAAGTCATTCATACCCAGTTTCATATAGTGAGCAAGCAACAGAGTCAGAATTCAAAACCATGACCTCTCATTCTAAATTCAGGGCTTCCTTCTTTGCACCACCCTGTAAATGGCTCATAGATCTATAGCAAATGATGGCTTGCAAAGCACTTCCCTGGGAGAGAGAAACAAGCCAAGGTTTATCATCTTTGTTTTACAAATGAGGAAACTGAGGACCAGAGGTTAAGTGACTTACCCAAACACATAGCTAGTAAGTGGAAACCAAAAGTAAAACTCAGTTACTTGATCTCCAACCCCACTGCACCTCAGGCATGTGCAAGAATAAGCAAAACAGCAAACTAATAAAATGAAAATGAGCAAATGACTTATGAATAAACAGATCTAATAGGTTTAAAAGAAAAAAAAATTTTTAATGAAAGTTCATCACCATCACTCTTCTACTGGCACAAACCTAGTGAATTTCAAATTAAAATGTATTTACTAAATTTTATTTTATGACAATGATTAATTACCATTCCAAAAATCATGACTCAAATACCTTACCTGATTGGCTACTCCCACTTCTAAAAAAATTTGTATATCTGTATAGATCGATACATAGGACACACTGGAAAAAAAATATTGGTTTAATCCACAAATAAGGGTCTGAAGAACTATTATTTTAAAGCAAGATGCTTTAAGAAGCAATGTTTCTAATGTTTTGCCTCTACAAATCTACAAACACATTCTTACACACACACAAATTTACAATTCTAAACATTCATACATGATAAAAACTTGAGATGGTTAGAATTATGGAGAAAAGAAACAAACAGCATATGTAGAAGATTTGACCTGAGGTGTTCAAAACTGTCAAGTCAGGTAACAAATGATCTTTTTCTCTTTTATGTCCATTCCTGCCTTTGTACTATAGGACACCCAAGTGCCACTGGTACTTTAAAGGGTCAAGACCTTTAGAAAGGCATTCAAAAGTCAGTGCACATAATAAAGAGAGGATGAAGTGAATGTCAGGCCACGACTCCAAAGGCAGCATCTGGGCTCTGAGATAACGGCATGTTCATGTCAGTATACTTTTGATGGAGACTGAAGCTGGAGGAACTCCAAACACCTGCATCTACCCTACGGCCCATACATCTACTCAATCACAGACATGACCACAGGGGCTTCTGGGCTTCATATTAGATCCTAAAACACAAATGGAACAGGAAGAACTACTCCCCTGATAGAGGCAGCAGGTGGATCCAAATCCCCTCCAGATTTAAGGTGTTTTTATAGTCTTCTGTAGGTTGGCAATTTTTTTTTTTTTACAGTGGGCATACTACCAGAATATTAGTGCACATCAGTAATATTTCATTTCACATTTGTGCGTCCCTGCATGTCTTCTGCATACCTGCCAAGGCTATTTGGAGACTCAGGGAGGTTGAGAAGGGAATTAGAAGGGGTTGGACAAGAAGACAGCTTTTCTAGGAAACAAAACCAGGAGTGCATTAGATGCACAATTATCCTTAACCACGGAAAGAATGCTTATCTACTCACATAATTTCATGGTATTTTTCCCTTAGCACAAGAAACGCATGCTGCATATTCAGAAATTCTCACAGAGTAAACTCTAGGTAGGGGCACAGTGAACCAAAAAGAGATATGATTGTTTGGGTAAGTCCGACTATTGGAGTCAATCTTAGCGAACTGTGGACTTGGGAATAAGGGGTCATGGTTACATCTTCTTTTCTGTTCAGCTCAATTCAGCAAACAAATTAAGTGCCTACTTTGTCCTGGGAACAGAAATATAGCTAACTCAGGGCCTGCTTTCAATAAGCTTATAATCTAATGGAGGAAATAAAGACCTAGGATACAAAGGGGTTGTGGAAAGGGATGGTGGTTGAGGGGATTTTTCACGTAGGAGTCCGCATCAGTGAAATCTTGAAGAAGAAGAGACGGTAACAGGGAGAGATTAACCAAAAGAGAGGCTCAAGGGCAGACATCCATTCTGGGAAGAAGGCATGGTATGAACACATTCAAGGAGGAAGGAAAGGGCAGCAAGTGAAGGGAAGACAGAGAATAGTCCAGTTGGGCTAGAATACAGACTGGCTGAAGGGAGGGATGTGAGAGAGGGTTATATCTGGTATGAATTTGCACCCTCAATACACAGAAACGACAGAAGAGTCTCTGTGCTCAGGTTAAAATTCGAAAGCCAAATTCTTTTTTCTGTGTGTGCAGTTTCCTAGACTGGCTGGTGAACAGGCACTGAGGAATGTGAGGAAAGATTATTTTCTTTTCCAGGGGGGAAAAAAGTAGAGGAAAACTTGGAATCAAGAAACATATACATGACATAGTCTCTATTCAAGACATCTTAAAAGGTAAATAACCTCAACATCTTAGATCTATAGATCTATCTTAGATCTTTGAAACATAAACTTCCTTTTGCTATCAGCCAGTCTCTAGAAGGGTGGCTAGATGGCACAGTGGATAGAGTGCTAGAATTGGAGTCAGGAAGACCTGAGTTCAAATCTAGCTCAGAAATATATTAGCTGTGTGACCTTGGGAAAGTCTCTTAACCGCTGTTTGCCTCAGTTTCTTCATCTGTAAAATGGAGGTGATAATAGCACCTGCCTCCCAGGATTGTCGAGAGGATGAGATAATCTTTGTAAATCTTCAAACACTATAATAAATGTTATTACTATATTATTACTATGATCATTATTTCCTTGGTTATAAAGCTTGAAGCTATCGGTACTAATTTGGATTTATGAAATGCTTTTTGGTTTACAAAGCAGTTTCCCCAGGACAACCTTGTGAAGAAGGTGGTACAAATATCAATATTAACATTTTACTAGTGAAGGAACTAAAGG